AATCAAGGAAAATGTATATGAAAATATTTTCACCTTTAATGAAAGAAATATATTTTAATTTAGAAACTTGCAGCACTAGATACAGCTCCCTCAAGAAATTACCTACCCAAACAAAAGCACAGAGGAAATCAGAGCAAAAGTAAAACAAAACAGTGAAATGTAGTCCAGCATCTGCAAAAATTTCTTTACTGTACTTCCGATCAATGTTGAATAAGCAGATCAAGCCCCTCGTTCCTCATTGAAGAGTACCTAGAAATTACCACACTCTTTTTTCAAATATGCTTTACAGAAAGCCAGCATAAGTGACTACATTTCTCATGTAGTCACCCATTCTTTTAAAAGCAGATACAAACCCTTAACTTAAAGACAAAGCAGTTTTTTTTCTAATTAAGTTACCAGTAAAGCTTTATGGAACCTTGCTAATTATCCTCCCACAAAACCTGGTGGTAAACCTATAGTGGATGATTACAAGGGGGATCAAACAGTTACGAGGATAATGTTATGTAATATACATTTGTATTCACAGCCTAAAGCTGCAAAGAGTACAGTTCTTCAATCTACTTAAAAATGCATTTTTGTTGAGTCAGTAGAAATGAGAACTTTTGCACTCATGCTCAGTTTTACAAAGGATAGGATGCAGCTATATGTTGCCTATATAGCTATATGTAGCTATATGAAGGCAGGGCTCTTGATGGATAAAAAGAAATTATCACTTTCTGAGGGCTTGCTTTTTGTAGACTTTCTAAAGAGACTGCATTTTTTCATTCCAACTGTATGCTCACCAGTTATACCATCTAATGAGGTCCCATTTTCACTCAGGACCTAAGGAAAACCAAGACATGCACAATTAGTAAGGATACAGATGAGTTAGAACAACGTAAGCCAAAGTATTTGCTCATTTTGTATAAACTGATTTAGTTGGAAAAAGCACAATTTAAGAAGTACTCAAATTTTGCATTTAACAGAAGACCCCAATTATACATTTGCACAAGAATATGTACTAGGCTGCAAAAGCTTTTAGAGGTTACTCTGAAAGAGTAAGAATTGCAGAGAATTCAGTGTAAAGCAACAGTACATAAAAAAAAACAACCTCATTCGAGTCTGTTACTTCTGCAGAGAAACAAAAGGATGAAAATTTGATGTAAAGGGTCTTGCAAGTTAGCATTGCAAGGAAAAAGACTTAAGCCACTTGTGTTCCTTTCTATGGTTTTTTTTTTGTAGCAATAATTATTCAAAGGATCAAACAGTACAGTTCAAATTTCAAAGTCATCTCAGCAATATGTACAATGCCCTCCTCTGTTAGTGAAAAAAAGGATACATTTCTATTGTACTGGTGAACAGTGAAGTCTCTGTCATCAGTCAGCTTACGCAGGTGCCTGTGCTGCCTGGAACATCACCAAAAGGGAAGTCAGAGTCTTGTTGGTTTGCACTGTGTGCCATGGGAAAAGCAGGATGTAAAGCAGTTTTAGAAAAAAAAGTGTGAAAATATTTGTCATTAGCAGCAATGATAGCGAGTCTGAGTGCAGAGCAATAAAATCCTCTCCTGTCAGTTTGTAACTGTACCTGTATATGAATTCAGGTAAACTATTAATGGTACTTTGTATCCTAGGGAGGTTGTTTTATTTTAAGCAAAAATTGCTCTTTCACTGAAAATTAATAAATTGATTTATTTTGCCAGTGACATCAGCTACTTTTAGAAAATCTAAACAGAACTTAGGATACAAGTAAGTATAGATAGCTGCATTTGTAAACTGAAACTTGTTCCTATAAATTTAATATAAGGACAATATAGTGAATGCCTCCTCTGATTTAACCAAATGCCTTAGAAAATAGTTTGTAGCACTGCCTGGAATAGTCTGGCACTGCCTTTTTGTGACCCAAGTGCAGGACCCATCGGATCAACACACCCATCCAACTTTGTGTCATAATATGCATAGGTGACTTCCCTGGGACACATTCTGTGTTATGAAAGGAATCTGATTATTGGGGATATATCTTAAGTTCCTAAATCTTTACATTTAAAGTGCATAAAAATTTTAATTGATAATATATTACACAATGCAAGACAGGTGAGGTTGACACGGGACAAAGATGCCATGCTATGTTTATTCTAGCGCTAGGACACACACGGGGGATTGCTCCACCACAAACGTGTGTGTCTCAAACGAAGTGGACACTGTTTATATACACTTAAGTTCATACATATTTATGAAAGTTTCATCTTTGCCTATATTCATAACTTATCCCTGCCTACTCTTGCTTCCTATGTTAATTAGCTTTTTGCCAGTCTATGCTTGCATGCTGTCTCCTGGTGGTCTTGGGCCGAGGTCTTTAGATGAAGTAAAGTCTTCCTCGCGGTGGCCCCTGGATGAACTTCTTGCACAGGCTCTGTTGGTATCCAGACGTCCCTTGGGGCTCTAGCCACAGTCAAAACTAAAGATCCAGTTCTTACTGGTTTTTAGAGCACTAACTCCTGCTTTACTAATCTTAAATGACAAGCGAAATCCTGTTGTTGCATAGCAAAGGACCATCTGCTCTGAATGCACTTGATTATATAGCAAACTATAGTTACATAAACTTAGTTATAGACCTCCCGTATCAAGGTAAGGAATTAAAAAGCCAGTGGGTAAATCGTGTGATACATTAGCTTCTGGTTTCTTGGTTGATTTCTCATATAAGAATACTTTGGGCTGTGGATGTTTATTCCATAATATATTTGTTTGAGCATTTTTGCACTTGTGTTTTGGGGTTTTTGAGTGGGTGCATGTTTTTTGGTGTTTGTTTAAAAGTAGTGGTGCACTGGATATTTAGAGTTCTGGACTTGCCTTCTTTGCCCTGGAAAATAGAGGAAGGGTTAGGAATGCAAGCCTTTTGAAGGGAACACAGAATGATCTAGGCATTCTCTCTGTGGAATTTACACCCAGCAATATCAATCCAACCTTTTGGTCCCTGGACCGATCAATGCTAACTTCATAACACACAGCACTCTGTAGACTAGAAATGTCATCTACTCTTTGCTGATAACCCCTCTGTAATGCCAAGAGTGGAAGCTCAGAACAACAGCTTTCTCTACAGGAAAAACAAAAAAAACTCTCATAGAGGTTGACTTCTGAAAAGGAGTTCATCCTGGTGTTCATGCTCAGAGTTCAGAATCAGAAGAAAGTACTATAGTTAGAATCCACAACCAGGCGAAGCAGAATGAACCCAAACAATATGGATACCAAAAAGGAAACAGGAGGTAAACTAGCAGCTATTGAAATTACTACTGTTTTGTTCACAACAGCACAGGAGCCCGTACACCTGGTTTCTGTTCTGTCCCATAATTTAACATCAAGGATTTTCCCTGTTTCCTAGTCTTGGGACAATTTTGAAAATAATCGCCAACTGTAATCCAGCAAGAAAAGTGGCATTTCTGCAGCAGAAAGGTGTTATTTCCTCAAGATCAGCCCACAATATTTTTCCCCCTCTTACAATATAAACACACAGAATGTTCTTCACCAGGTAAGCAAGGTCTCCATCCATCTGTATACACCTGGAGAATGTGGCCGTAATTTTCCCCCTGTTAATGCAAGTGCTGAAGATTGTCTCATTAGAAAGAATTAGGAGTACCTGCTGATTGTCAGGTTTTTCAGTGCAGCAAGAGCAAAACAGTGCAAGCACCTGGCATTTTAAAAACAGCAGTCAAGGAAACTTTCCAACAAGCTCCTAAAGCCCAGCCACCACCCGAGAGGACTGCTTGCAAGAAATAAAGATTTCTGTGTTGAAAATACCCTTTGTAGAGACAGTGATATGCTTTTAAGTAAACTAGCTAACAGAACTGAGAACAAATTCATATTCCAGTACAGATGGATAGCCAGACCCTAATTGTAGTACATTTTCAGACCTTGAGTAGCATTCAGTCTAATATGAACTTATCTGAGTGTAAGGTTAAAAAAAGTAACTGACTTTATAATAATATAATAAATAATAATACTGTGGAGGCAACCAGAAGATGAAGATGTTAGAAATATACTCTTTCTGAGGTGCATTTAAAAATACACTAGAGGGCTCACTTCCTAAGTTCCTTTATCTTCCTGAATGTCTGCAGAGCATTGAATTATTTATTTACAACTAGATATATTACTGCAATTTACAGATATAATACGAACATGTTTTACTGCAACGTATGGTTCAAACTACACAGTATTACAAGTTATGCAGTACAGTCACTTCAGTGAAGCCATCAAAATTAGCTCAGGTCATGAATGTTTTCCATTTCTTTGCTGTGGCTCACAGGCTGTGCTATGAGGTTAAAGTGAGGACCCTGTGCAGCATCTTCTGCAATGTATTCCTTCCAGGGAGCCAGGGAAAGAACAATGACACAGGAGTGTTGTTTGGGAGCTACTGAGCCATTAGATGAGAGCAACTCCGTTAAGTTACTTAAGTTCTTGTGTGACGTGATCTCAGCGCTGTGAGACCAAGAGGCACGGAGCTAAATCACAAGCCTCGTACTCTGGACACTGCTGTGAAAAAGGCTACTGACGTGCCAGACTGGAAGCAGCTGGGCCAGATCCGTAGGGCATTGAACTGGGGCAGGGAAAACTTGCTGGACTGCGGCTGGGAGGCTTCCCTCTCCCAGAGCTCCACATACAAGCACCTGGGAGTTAACAGCAGCCACATACATACTGTTTTCTGAGACCTTCCTCTGGCTTTGCCAACCTACATAAATTTGAAGGGGTTCCACACCAGGGAAAAAATGCTTTTTCTTAATCTCTTCTGAACACTACGCAGAGCGACCAACCATTGAGGACCGCTGCCTGGAACGTGGGCAGCGTATGAGCACAGAACAAATGAACCAGAAACATTACCCTACTTGGCATTCAGCGGGATGTGAGGGGAGGGGATCGGGTACGACTCCAGGAGCCCATGAGTGGGCACAGGCATGACGCGTCCCCGGCTCCTCCCGCAGAGCCCTGTGGTGGCGGTGAAGAGGGGATGGCGCTCCCGCCCCGCCCCGCGCACGGCGCAGGCGCACTGGCAGCGTAGAGCGGGCCGGGCCGGGCCGGGGCAGAGCCCGCGGGAGGCGGTGGCAGCGGGGCAGGTGCGGGGCGGTCGTGGCGCGGGGTCGGGGGCGCGGGGTCGACCCAGGTTAGGGGTGCATGCAGGGGTGGGCGGGCAGGGCCGCGAGGCTGCCACCCGGGTGCTGCGGGGACGCCCCTTTGCAGTGCTGCCACCAGCCCGGCCGTCTTTCCCAGGCCCGCGGGCGCTGCTGTTAGCGCACCTGCCCCGTTCCGCAGTTTGAGACGGGGATGGGAACGGGCGGGGTGGGAGGATGCGAGGGGCCCAAGGCCGACACTCCCGTCTCGTAGGCCTGTGCACTGGCCAGGAGTGGCGGGGGGACAATATAGGGCATTCTGTTTCGGAATTCAGGAATAGCCAGTTCTAGAATAAGCTATTCCAGAATGATCGGAGCTGAGAAGGCGGCGATTACCTCATTGAAACAGCGATATCAGTAATCTAGATCAGTTATTTTTGTAAACAGAGGCACAGTTACTCAAGGAACCACAGGTACCTACGGCATGAGGCCTAGGAGAAAAAGAATGGTGAAGAAGGTTGTTCTGCCTTAGGCTTAAGCACTGATCCTTCAGAATTAGAAAAAATACATCTAAAATGCAAATATAACAGAAGTCCCAATAATTGCTGCCTCTGTGTATTTTGGTTTTTTTTTTAAGCAGAGTATCGCTCAAGAAAACTCTCTTCAAAAGTGGAAGGAGCCCCTACTACAATGATGAACGCCGATATGGATGGTATAAATTCTTAATGTTCTTGTTATTCTAATTAGTATAAGTTCAAACTGTTAACAGAGGTTGCACTAAAACTCTCATGATTTATTGCAGCTGTTGAGAATCAGGTGGAATTAGAAGAGAAAACACGGCTTATTAATCAAGTTTTGGAACTGCAGCATACACTTGAAGGTTAGCAGCTTGACACATCAGATTTTTTACAAATATACAGTAATAAGCAAAAGGAAATAACCTGACTGCTCTTGCCCTTAGTCACAGTGTCCGGAAGTATGTCACTTAAAGCAGCTGAAGAATCAAAACCAAGGTCTTGGAAATAGTTTTTTTTTTTCTTCCTCTTTATGCAACATTATGTTTGCTCAACCTTGGTAATACACAGCAAGTAGAACAGACAATAGAGTTAATATGTCCATATTTATTAGAGGACACACATCTAAGGCTGCTCATCACTGAACTTGTTTCTGAGTAATTTAGTTTGCAGTAACCTCATTCAAAAATTCAAGAAAGTAATAAACTTACAGTCTAGCAGTAAGTTTAAAAAGTTGGTTAAAATACTGTACTACAAAATATAGGAAAAGTGGCCTTTAGGTATAGCACGAGTAGGAGAATGTTTGTAAAATACCCAATCGTAATGTTTTCTGAATTAAAGGTGTGACCAGTCTGATGTAGGCCCGTAGAACATATTCATTATTGTATGCAATACTGTCTAATATTTTTCTTATAATATCACCTTCGCAGATCTCTCAGCACGAGTAGATGCTGTTAAGGAAGAAAACTTGAAACTGAAATCAGAAAACCAAGTTCTTGGACAGTATATAGAAAATCTGATGTCAGCATCTAGTGTTTTCCAAACAACTGACACAAAAAGCAAAAGGAAGTAAGGGTTGACTCACAGATTATGTAATTGTATTGCTGCTGGGGTTTTTTTGTTGTTAACTGGCATAGGCTACATAAGCTAAAATTCTTTAGTTTGTGGCTTACTGGATTCTCAAAGATTATAAACTTTGGTAATAAACAGAATTAAGAGCATTATCATGAACAGGAGACAGGAGTTTGTGTAATAAGCAATGTGCAAATGTAGTGTAGATAATTATAAAATTGTAGTATTTGTTTTAAAAATGACCATATCTTGTTAAAAAGCAGGTTAGTTTGTCAGGTTAAAGTTCTGTTGGCACTCTGAGGTCTTAGGGTAGATTTCTTGACTAGCCTGGTAATAGTTATAATATTGTGTTGAAACCCCATTTGATAAAAATATTCAGTTTAACTGCACTTTTTTCACCTGAGATGTGTTTACTATTCACAGCTCTACAAAACAAAACAAAAACCTATAAACCAGTTAAGCATTTCTGTGAAGTAGGAACACTATGACATTGTTTGCGGGGCTTGCATACAGAAAAACACCTCGTACTTTTTTGGGAAGGGGGAGGGTAAGAGGAGGAACAAGGGTGAGCAACTTAATCAGGGAATACCAAACTGATGCAGTATCAGATGTAATATGTACATGTGAAACCATTGCTGCTTTTCCATTTCCCTGAAGAATAATCAGGCACATCATCACAATGTATGATCTTCCTGAAGTTCTTCTGTTGTGTGATGAAAAGTTAAGTAAAAACCTCGGTGATAAACTTTCCAGAAAGAGGTCAACAATGCTTCTCATACTCATGAACAATCTGCAGCAAGGAACTGAGAACAAGTCTTTCCTTCCCCCCTTTTACTTTCCTTCTGAAGTGCCAAACTTGTCTTTGCTTCAGACCTCAGAGCAGCTGTTTTCCTGCCTCATAGCCTAAGCTTGTGTAGATCTTCTTGAGGCACTGCATAAAAACAGCTAAGGCAGAAGGATGCAGTGGAACAATGGTGGATTTTGCCTCTCAAAATGGCACTGCTCTGAGCAATGCCTGGTGGCAAGGTGCTGTTTTTTCTTGGTTTGGATGTTAGGTTTTGTAGGGGAGCTTAGCCCAGATTATGGGTCTGAGCACTTCCCACAGAGGCAGCATGTACAGCATAATCAGTATTAAGGGAGAGCAGAAGCTGAAATACAAACAAGTAAATTTTAGCAGTACTTAGTTACATCTATTTCATCTTGTCCTACAGCAGCTCTGCAGACTTATTTATGTACGTTAGCTAGGACCGAGTTCTCACTTCAGTAATGAAGCTATTTTACTTGAACTTTTAAAAGAAAACCACTAGTTCAAGGATCTCTCTCAAGCATGGTGTGAATGAGGCAGTGTAATAGAAGAATAAATCCTTCTCAAATCCCAACTTTTTTAGCAGCCAGGTACTGCTGTCTCAAGTGTAAGATGACATTGTGAGGTTCCCCTCTCCCAAAGGTCAGGTTTCCCATTTCTCCCCGTTTAAAATGGTTGTACAATGCTCGAGTCAAAAGACTCTAAACAAAGTCAAAAGACTGCAAACAAAGCACTAATAGTACAGTCTTGAAGGCTGTTTACAAGTCTAGGTCAAGAAACCAAATGATGAAAAATGGATGATACCATTTGTGTCATGGGGTCCTTGTCAACATCTCAAATTAATTTTAATCTTCTTAAAATTAATTTTAATCTTTTATGGACTACTTTTTCACATTACTGGAACTCTAAATTAATCCAAGAGTTGCTAGCAGGTAGAGTAGATCACATGGCTAGAGTTTGAGCATTAAAAGAACAATCATAGAAAGCACTTGACTTCTAAAGGTTGCATTGCATTATAGCCATTGTAGCTTTAAAGCCACATTCCTACCGTCTCTCACTGTAGCTTACCTGGTAACACAGCATGCGCTTGTTAAGACTTCAGCAATTCCCAAGATAAAGTAATTTTAAAATTATGGTTTTGTATTGTAGATTGGATAGTGGTATTTTATCCATCAGTGTGTATACAGCAGTTATTTAATCTCCATGCCATTTTACATCCCACTTACTGTGGCCTTCATTTAAATTACGAACATTTTAAAGATGTTGTATTTCTGACTTTACACCAAATAAAAACCTTTCATTTGTCTCAATTAGTTTGGTTTAACATTTGTAAACCCTAAAACTTCTCGTAACTATCTGTTGTCAAAAGGTGAAAAGGCAGTAGGGTTAGTAATCATCTTAATGGTTTCGATATAGCTGAACGGTCTGAAAAACTAGATGTAATTGAGATTAAACTTGGGTTAATGAATCTAGTTTTAGCAAAGCTTCATTTTCTCTCTATTTTCAGCCATCAGTCATACATTTCTGTCTACTCTTCTATTCTTTCTAAAGTAAAAAGGGAAAGGAATGGTAGACTGCATCCACTGTTGCCAAAAAGCTAAAGCTTCTACTTCTCCATGTGGGAGACTATTAAGCCAAGTTAGAAATGTTACTTTTTCCTAACTTTTACTGAGCTTTACATTAGACAGAAACCAGAATTACTTCATCGTGCCTTCATGAATGCAGATGCAAACTGAAGAGTAGCTTCAGCTGTAACTAAATAAAAGGGCATCAGTACTACTTGGCCTTCCCTGCATATAAAAAGTGTTCAGTCTGGGATTTGACATCCTCAGACTGAGAGCTTTTTTATCAAGCTACAGCATAGCCAGAGGGGTGGAGATCTTAGCAGGCTGTGGAGATCTTGTTACTTAGGGAGTTCCAAAGATGACTGACAGTTTGGACAAGACATGCTGGAACTGAAAATCATTCTTTAGTTAATTTTAAAGCTCTTTAAAGTAACCATGATAGCAAGATGAAGTTAGTTTCCTGAAATACCTGTTCAAATAAAAATGGAGAGTGCACAGGAAGTGCGGTTGAAATCTCACTGGTGCATTGTATCAATGAACAGACTTTGCCTGGCTTTCTACATCTAGAACCTCAAATCCTTAACATCTCTGGTATTTCTCCTCTAATTATCAGCATAAATCTAGATCCAAATAAGCTAATGTGCAGAAGTATGTATGCTATCTATAGGTTCTAGGTGATCAAAGCTGATGGGGCATCAATCAATACTTTATGGGAACTTTTAAGTTTGTTTTTTTTAAGTTCAAAAACCTAAGGGAATATGACCATCCCCCATGGGGTAACTAATCTCTGGAGTAACTAAATCACATCAAAGAAATGATAATAACTAGAGTAACTATCACATATCAGAGGAAAAAAAACCCCTCCAAACCCCTAAGCAAACAAACAAACCAGACTCCCAGGACATCCAAATGCTCTAACAATTCCAAAGGACTTCTATCAGACTAAGACATAATTAATTTAAAAGGTGAGCTGAAGTGCTCCCTGACAGCTCACCCTAACTGTTGCCAGCAGAATACTACACTGGTAACAGCTTTTATCTATTGCTGAGGAGTAATCTGGAGTTTTCACTTCTTACCTTTTGCATAGACACCCTAAATAAAGAGGTGGCAACTTGCAGTTAACTTAAAAAAAAAAAAAAAAGACAAAAAAAAGCCCCAAGTTAAACAAAAACTTACAAACATTTCACTGTGAT